AGAGGCAGCCCAAACACACACCCAGGTAAACAAATAATCACAAACAGAGCCAGTGGCTCACTTCGGTTAATGAAAGCAAAAAGGAGTTGTCGAACAGAAACAGGAGAGAGAGAGGAATAATTATCTGAGCGAGAGGAAGAAAAGAGTAATAAGGAATGAAGGGAAAAAGGAGGAGAACGAGACAATCATAAGTCCCAGTGGACAGATTGGAGCAGAGTGGATCCTATCGCATGCTATCTCTCATTTATATGCTAATTTACACTATTAACGGAGAGAGGGAGAGAGAGAAGGAGAGCGAGGAGGGTCTAATAAATACCGACTGATTGCTGTTTGTTCATTAGCGGCTTTGTGTTTTTGAAGAAACGTCTTCGACTGGGCCGCCGTTTCCAACCAAAGACAAACTGTGTCTCATATCATCCCGAGTATTACGACGACGGAGACGACGCCCAGAGTGGATGTTTGAAATGAAATGAGAAAAATACATAAAATAAAGCCAGAAAGAGAGATGTTATCACTGTAATTCAATTTGGATTAACGCCGCAAATCATCTCCTTTCATCCCTCCTCACTCCCTCCCTTCCTTCACTTTTGTTCCTTTATGATACTGATAGCCACTTGAGTGCTTCTCTCATTTTCTGCTCTAAGCTTTGGCTGCCGCTGATCTCGGTTCAGGTCAATTAACAATAAATATGAGCTCACATGCGCACACAATAGTACAGTGAGTCAGTGTAGTAGTGTATGAAGTGTGTTAGGCTGCCACAATGGACGATCAAAGGAGCAGGAGATAGTTTTTATGATTTTCAGTTATATATACTTATGATGGTGAGTCGAAAATCTGCTTTATTTCACTTTCGGAACTATTTTGTTTTTTAGACAACCATAATTAAGTCCTCGTTCCTCACCCTTTCAAACATTGTAGCTTATTCTTCAGGTTTTCATTTAGCAATGCAAAATCTTGCCATAATTGGAGGATAGTTACGAACATCAGAGACATTTTGAATCAGGTTTTCTTACCAGAACCGAGTCTGTTCTGTTCTGGTTTCAGTTCGATTCCCTGCAGCATCACTTCCAGACACAACAGGCAGCTTCAGCAATGAAGCTCTGAAATCAAACAATCAGTCCAGCACCAAACAGACAAAAAGACAAAGTTAACAACAAGCATCTGATAGTTTAACAGCTAAGTATTTCCATCCAGAGTGGTGGAGACCACAGCGGAGCTAAAAGTGAGTGAACCGTGGACTGACACCAGTGCGTGTAGTTTTATATATTTTTTTTACACGCAACTAAAGTCAATTTGTGTGTTTTCAACAACTATTTGACTTAAAGGTTCAGTGTGTAGAATTAAGTGACATCTAGTGGTGAAGGTGAATGTTGCAGCTGAATACTCCTCACCTCACCCTCCCCTTCCCAGCATGAAATAGAACCTGTGGTGAACAAAAGGTTTAAGTTTGGCGGCCTCCACAGAGAGGACCCCCCCCCCCTCCATGTAAATATACAGTTTTTAAATATAAAGATCCGTTCTATGGTAAAGAAAACTACAATTAATTTAGATGAAACACACCAGGATTATTTTATATTCAATTTCGGCCAAAATGTATTTTTACCTAAATCTTACACACTGAACCTTTAAACATTAGATTCGTTTCCTAGAGACTTTGTAAAATGTTATGATTTACAGCACATGACGAGGACTTCCCCACAACATGCATAATAATATCGAGACCACAAATACACAAATATATAGACTCACAAGTTATCATAAGTTTCTTTTAAAGACAAAACAGGACTTGCAGACATAGAGGTATTCATGGCTTAGCAGACACACACACACACACAGATCATTACCCTCCTGGCTTGTCACAGACACTTAGAGAAACACAAAGAGGGAACCCTGAACCAAAGTCCTGAAATGATTTTTCCTCCTGTCACCACCATCGACGAGTGTGTGTATGTGTCTTTTTGTGTGTGTGTGTGTGTGTGTGTGTGTGTGTGTGTGTGTGTGTGTGTGTGTGTGTGTGTGTGTGTGTGTGTGTGAGACCACATGCAAAGGGTTTCCACGGGCAACATCCAGAGGTTGTCGAGGGGGTCCCCGGGTTGTGATGGCTTTTCCAGCGCTGTCGTCACAAAGACACACTTATTCTCAAACAGCGCTGCTTGTCAAAACACGGCGATGGAGGAACGGACACAGACAAATAACAAAAGCAGGTCAGGAAGCGGCAGTCGCACACATTGTGTCGTACTGCACAGGCGTTCATCACACCAACACTGAAATTCACTCTGCTATAGATTCCACACACTTCCACCCTCGTTTCTCGGCTCACTTTTAAATCTGTCAACACTTTTACTCCTTATCGTCACTGTTTGTCCTGTAAACAACATAATGTGCTGAATGTAAAGAATCATATATATTTAGCACAGTCTCAGTATTTCCGGATGGATTTTTTGAATAAAGCACCCGACTGTACAAAATAAGATTACAGCACACAGAGCTTCCTCGTGTGCTCTGCTTTACGACCTCTAACTGCGAGCGAGGAAGTCACATAATCCCGTACTGATCACGTAATCGTACGAAGAAAAAAAAAAACTTGAACAGCAGAGGTCGGAGGCTGCGTGGAGGCCGAACACGTTCTTCAGTTTGAAACCAGGGAAACTATTTCTTTATAGAGCTCACATTGACGACTTGAAACATTGAACTATCGCCACAAGGTTGGAAATTGAACATGGGTGTCCACATACTTTTGGCCTCATTATACAGCACAGCATTGATCGGATCAGCGTTGTGAACATGGAGCTCAAGAGGTCACGTCGTCGACATGGTGACGCCATAGACTGAAAAGAAAGATGGACGACGTGTCTTCAATTTCATCCAAAAGCTAAAATATCACGAATACCGCCATCTTACGCAGGTGACATCATTTGGCCGCGGTGCGGAGTTGACGCCCATTACACAAGCTAAACGAATTGCCAAAATAAACTTCATCGCAGTAACAAAGTAAAAGTATCACATCACTGCCAACGTTGTCTTTAGAACTGTAGAGCAGTGCAGCATGGGAGACACCTTCCACACAAAACCTCGTTCAAAAGTTCACAGTAAAATCCCCAAACCCCCGGTTTTACAAAACCATTCACCCCAGACAAAAGTAAAACAGGACGAAGTGAAGAGGATTGTCAAATTATGAACGAAGATTCTCCTTCAAGTGTGTGAAACAACCAAACCAGCAGGTTTATCGTTTGCTAAAGTTGAGTTTGTATATTTTTTTAAAAATGGATTAAACCGACTGGAGCTGTGAGTTAAACACATTACACGAGAACAGAGTGGAAACTGTTTAAAACTCCGTGTGAATAATATGTGAGGCCACTGTGTTATGTTAATGAGCCGCCTCTCAGATGTATATTTACAGTCAGCGCGTTATAAATGTTCCTCACCGACTCGACTTAAAGGAACATTTTCACCCCCGAAGATAAACATGTGCCCGAGTGAAGTGGGGACACGACTGATTCCGACTCACAGCGGTGCAGCGACGGAACATTTCATCACGGTCTGAGGAGGAAATCAACAAAGGTTTTCACACATAACAACAGGAACAGATGTTGCCTTTAGAGAGGAGAAGATTACACACTTTTGTATTTTCACACTAAAAGATATGAAAAAAAGACAGAAACAACAACCAGGAGCTAAAAGTCAATTTCCCTACTCTTTTCTTCTTTTGTGTCATTTCTCGCTTTCCCTCTTTGCCTCAGTAAACGGATATTTTAACCGCGGCAGAGAGAAACTGTTGTTGTCTTGTGTTTTTCTTTGTTTTGTGCTGGATTTACAGATGTTTGCGCTCACATCTGTGTCTTTTACAGGTAAGATTCACACCAGCTGCTGAACTGCTCAGTCTGTGAATAACAAAAATCTGAAAAGGTTTCATGTCATCTTCTATTTTGGACCAATGATAAAAAAATAAACATCAGTGTGTGTTTGCAGTGTTTTTAAAGCTCAGAAATATAAATTTAAGTTCCCTTCCTGAGGAAGATTAAAGGTTGTGATGATTCACGGCTGCAGTGGGATTATTTGTATTTAAAAGCAGGAGCCCAGGACTCTGAGCTACACACAAAAATATAATTATATATAATATAAATATAAGGATGGGGAAAAAAATACCCTTTTTAAAGTATTGGCCATTTCATCTGTCTTCAGCACCATAACTAATAACACACATATATATTTGTGTATTTCCTTTGTAAATCTTGAACAGGCACAATTTGAATTGAGGACGACAATTTCATAATTAAGTTATTGAATCTTGAATAACTTGCATGAATGAGACATTTATCTTTTGCCCCACAAGAAATTATTTAGTAATTGATTTGTTAATAAATTCTATTGTTTTAATTTTGCATAGTTGCTCCGATTTAATTAACATTTTGGCCTGAACCAGGTTTTAAAAAGTTCGAAGTATTTAATTGATATTAAAGTTTACTGCTGTGGTCATTGTTGTGGTGCTCAGCATAATATCTGGCCTGTTGGCACCATAAGTCATATTTTATCAGGACACTTGTATTTTGAAAAAGGAGAAACAGAAGTCATGATAGACGGAGTCTGAGGCGACAGAGTTTTTCTCCTCTGCTGAAAAAAGGAGAAACCTCCATATCTGGGGAAAAAAAACATATGTACACATGTATAACACAATAAATCCACGTTTCTCCAGCTGAGTCTGAGTCAGGCCTGAATCAGTTTTCTGTTTTCAGTGACATGGAAAGGCTCATGCTGCCTCCTGATGGTTATACAGAGGAAATGCATCTCCTCTGCAGCAGGTTCACTGCTTTACAGGATCCAATATAAATCCTGCTGGGGCTTAAATACTGTCGTGCCTCGAAATACATTTAATTAAATACAATTCCTGATTAAAAGTTAATGAGTAGTTCGCTGATAACATTAACAAGTCAAGTCTGTGGGACTCTTACTTTATGATATCGTGCAACAGATCTTTTAATAATATCCACGTAAATTTAAAATCCAGGTCAGTTTCTCCATTTAATTATAAGACTATTGTTAGAACAAACTTTATACAATATTCACATGTGACAGATATAAAGAGGTCAAGAGCTTTACCATATGTACAACATCACATTTCATTAAGTGCCAACTAACTCTGTTAAAACAGTTTGGTCATGACACAGAAAAAGAAATAGTGCCTCTGCAAGAATACACATAACATCATGAAAAGATTAAACAGGTCATTTAGCTCATGTTCAAATCCAATATGGACCAGTTCTCACATTGGGTTAAGATTGAAAACTCCTGACTGGACTCCTGCGTTTTCTCCAGTCAAACAGGAAAACATTTAAAGGCAACACATAAGAGAGTGACGGTAAAAAGAAAAGAGCAGAACCTGATTTCCAGTGACTTTCTTACACATGTTTAAGTATCAACTGCATCTTTATAATATGTTTAAATGTATTTTGAAGAGTTCATACAATTGCTTTGAAAGGCATCAGTGTATGTAGAGAGGGATACAGAATATTGGTGGATGCCTGAAGATGTAAAATCATGTATTTAATATGATAGAATGAAGAAAGGCTGTGAAAAGGTCTCGACCACCAGGTAGGGAAACAATATGTCTAGAAAATCCCCTCATATAATAAAACGATTCAGTTTAAAAAGAGCTTGTCAAAGGTCAGTGCTCGACACAGACTGGTTATTGGTCGAGTGTCGTATTTGTCCCGAAACGTTCACAGTAAAACACATTTGTGGTTTAAAGAGAAATGTTGTTTGACGTGAGCAACGCCACCAGGGTCAGAACGTGGACCCGAGGTTCGTCACAGAGACTAAAACCAAGAGCAGAGAGTGCGACACAGCTGCCGGACCTCCGCCATGACTCCTGTTCCCTATTAACTCCCATTAGCATCAGTGTGACTGTACACGAGCAAAACATTTCAATAAGTACGGCGACGTTCAGAGGGTGTGTGAGTGTTTGTGAGCGTTAAGTAAACAGATTAAGACTAGAAGGGGATTAAAACTAACAACCAGAGCACTGAACCCAATCACATCACGGCTGGTGAGTCATTAACCCCCTCAACATCATCCGTGTGTGTGTGTGTGTGTGTGTCTGTGTGTGTGTGTGTCTGTGTGTGTGTGTGTGTGTGGTAACGTCAGATCTTGAAGGAGGGAGGGGTATTTTTCTAAAAGCGCTGAGCCAGACAGAGTGACTGACAGTATCCCCTGAATCACTGACATTAAGACTAGAACACGAGACATCACAGACAGAACCTTTGAAGAGCATCATCCCTCCTTCTTGTTCCCCCAGTTGAACAGTCTGGACACCGGAGACTTTTTCTTTGGTTTGTCCTTCTTCATGCCTGAGACAGGGAGGGAGGGAGGGAGAGACAGATGGAGGGATGGTTAAAGGGACATAAATATTTAAAGGAAAGACTGGACGCCCAGCTTCACCTGTGATACGGTGCTTTATCCTCGATTTGACAAAGTGAACATCATGATGTATTGAAGACGGTTTGAAACATAAACTCTTTAGGAAAAAGTCATTTTCCTCATCGACCAGCCAGTGGAGTCGCCCTCTGCTGGTCATATACGACGGTCCACTGACCTCCAGCACAACGTGGAAAGAACAAAAACTAATCTGGTCCATCATCGCTCATCAAACTGTCCTCAACACTGGACTGAACTCCACCTCCATCCACAGCTAGAACACTGAGCAGCTTCAAACATCACAGACTCATCGTTAAGAATAAATTCAGCTTTGATCACGACTTCTGATTAACGATCTCAGCCACAGGTGTTGACATGAGGTGAAGGTGATCGTCTCTAAAAGCTCTTTTCTTAAAGTTGTGTTTAAAGTTTGTGTGGAATCAGTTTAACTCGTTTGGGGCTGTAACAGATAATTACTTTTATTATCAATGACTCTGCCACTCGGCTCTCTACGATATCAAACAGATTGAAGCAGCGGACAGCTGTCGATTGTTTTCCATTAATCAACTAATCAATTAATTAACTCATCGTTTCAGCTCTAAACTCACACTGAAGTCTTTTTAACCAGCGAGACGTAAAGCAGGACTGTCACCATGGTAACCCGCTCTTTAACGCACTTATCAGAGTATTTTCATCAGCCATGTTTCTCAGGAACATACTGTATGTATGTGGTTAGGTCTGTGAACTGGGAGTAATACAACACGCGTTGTCAACGATCACGTGACTGAGCTCAGAGTGAACTGAGAAACTTTTGGCGTTAACTTTATGAATACATTAAAGTGAGATGGTTCGTCTTTAGCCCACGGTCGGCGTTCGCTCGCTGCAACATAACGACCTTTCCGCTGAAGTTCAATAAATCTCCTCGATTTCAGCCCCACTCCGTCGGTCATGAATTGCAAATGAGGGCGGCTTTAACTCTGTTGTATCAGGGGGTCAAATTAACCGGCTGCATTATCCATTTGTCTAATAGGAACGCCGCTGACAAAAAGAGAGGCGGCATTTTGTGTGATGCTTTTTCCATTAGCAGTCATTAGATCAAATGAGATGAAAACATCACCCAGTGGCACCCTTAAAAATGCAGGTTCACACACACACACACACACACGTTCATAAACCACAATGAGAATTCTATCTACTTCAATTAGTGGCACCAATGATGGAAATCCTCGATTGGATCATTTATAAACCGACTAAGCTGCAGCGACACCGGAGCTGAGATAAGTAATGATCAGAGCGGAGGGGGGGGTCAGACGGCCCGTGGAGGTGGTGGAGACACTCACTCAAAGTCCTCATCATCTTGTTTAGCTCCTCGTCCTCCTCTTCCTCCCTGAGAAGAAGAGAACGCACAAAAAGTCAGCAGACAGATCAACATGTCATGTCTGCGTCAGCGTTTATATTTTTTATTTTATTACATAGTTTTTTTTACTAGATGTACAACTTAAAAATATTCAAATATTCAGCTATATCAGAGTTTCTGCAGGAATCAACAAGGTAAGTTTAAGACTTTTTTTTTTAGAACATAATGAATTCAATTTAAAATCTATGCCCAGTACAACAAATATAAAAGAATATCAGAGTCTCAGATTCACTTACACCTCCCCACGAAAGAAGATGAGGTGAAGTAACCGGGTAGAGAGTAAACCTTGATAAGCTACATGTCGTAAGATCAGTTCTGACGAGGCGGTGTGAAGACTTTGAGTCGTCAGTGAGTGAAAAACCTGATCAGTTGAATTGAAGTCATGCAGAACTTTGTCTGTTTGGCTTAATAAAAAAAACATCTTGATTCAGAACCATAGTCTGAAAACTGGGGACTCGAGCCCTTCATTGTTCTGACTGTTCTCACTTGTGCACCACCTTTGTAAAAACCCACCTGAGTCTGTCCTCGTCCAGACCGTCTATGATGGCGTTTCTGTCATTGACGATCCCCACCAGCTTGTCCATCAGCTGCTGCTCCCTCTTTCTGTCCGAGGCTGTTTTCATATGTTCTGCACACACACACACACACACACACGTAAATATATATATATATTACTTTCTTTTCTAAGGTTGTTGATGTGTGATGTGTTGTGTTCTCTGAAGACCTCACCTGGTTTGTCCATCAGTCTCCTGAGCTCCTGCTCAACACTGGGCTGCTGCTCCTCCAGTTCCTGAGTTCTTCCTCTGCACAAAAACACCCAAACATCTTATTGTTACCTGACGTCAGATAAATTATGGCCTCACCTCTTTGGTTCAACACATATCTATTGATACGGGCCACACCCGTTAATGTCCAAACAGATTTTTTCTTTTAGATGCAGCTAAAAGTAGATAAATGAGCAAATCAGAGGATTCTGTTTGTTTTTTAATGATAATTTGTCAAAGAAATAATTTCAGGGCACATTTTCTTTTTCTTATTGTCAGAAATTCCGAGAGCATCAATAATCTCTGTCTGTGTGATCCAGCCTCGAGGCCAAAGGTTCCTACTGGAGACATGAATCTTTAAAAAGGGGGTAAGGACAGATTTAAACTTTAATATTACTGCATATGATTTTCAGTTGTGGATTAACAAACGTTTGGTTTTACAGTGAGTATTTATGGCAGCGTTAAAATAAAAACAACAGTGTCGTAATGATGGAATATGTCACTCTGTTCAACAGACCAACTCGCTGATCGTCGACAACAATGAGGAATAAACTACATCAGGATTTAGTTACACATAAAATACTGCAGTGAGATTCAATTATTGGTTTCAGTCTTTGTCACAGAACTGGTTGACGATAAGAAGAATCTAAAATATCACCAGGCTCGTGCTTTAAGCAGCATCCTGCTTCTCTCTGCAGCCAGTGGGCAGCGATGTGTCCTGTTCCAGGACGCCCCGCTGAGGGACGGAGGAGGGAGGACACTGGGAATTCAAACTGTCAACCTTCTGGCCACAAGTCTGTCTCACTAATCACGAAAAAAAGTGTAATGCCCCTTTTCTAAGTGTGTGTGTGTGTGTGTGTGTGTACTCACATGTAAACCAGTTCAGACTCGCGGCGCATGGCCACCTGCTTGTTCCTGATCAAGTTGAACCACTCAACCATGAGCTCATCCATGACAGAGTCATCTTCACCCTCTGACACACACACACACACACACACACACACACACACACACACACACACACACACACACACACACACACACACACAC